TCTTCCCCTCTTCTTCTATACACAAAAACCCATGTGTGTTATCTTTTTTATATACCCCCCCACACACACACACACACACACACACACACACACACACACACACACACCACACACCACCACTACCACCACCACCATCCAACCCAGGTCCTTTCTAGTTTGAGCTTAACCCAAAGGAAGGCTACCTGGTACTTTCCCATGCACGCAGTAGGCGCTCTCTACATTTGCACTGAGGTAGAATGGGAAGTGCATTTAGTTCAGGAAGTTAGCAAATACTGGCCACATTCTGGGCTTCACTGAAGATGCAGGTCCCTCCTTCACAATGCCCTAGACATACACCATTCCTGCTTCAACTGTTGGCATTCTGGAGGGGTGAGCAGGCATCTAAAGGAAAGAGTTTTTGAAGAGTTTTCTTCTCACATTCAAACAAGCTGCATTCTGAGGACCACATTCCCAGGTTGTGGGTGTGCATGCAGGGGATAGGGAGGGAGTGCATCCAGTGCCACCTTAGCGAGTTGAACTTTTGTCTGGGGCTTTGCTAAGGTATATTCGCCCAACAGCAGGTTCTAGCCCCAGATGTTAGGAGAGTAAAGGGGTCAGTGCCTCACCCTGCTGAGTTGGGAAGGAGAAGGATGGAGAGTGACCCTGTAGTCCCTTCTGCCTTCCCCGAAGTTGCCTCAAAATGAAACACTGTGAGAATGCAAGGAGCCCTCAGGGAACCTTGCAAGTAAGGCAAGAGGACTCATTGTTGGAAGCCTGTTTCTACTGTGCCATGTTAATCTTGGTGCAAAAAATACTCCATTACATCTCAATTCCAAGCGATTCCAAAAACATAAAGATCCAGTGTAGGGACAGGCATTCATTGCTCCAGAATCCGACCATACATAGCAGTTGTGATGTGAAAACTGTCATGTCATTTATCACTTTCCCCATTTGGAGATCTTTGATTTCTGCTTGTGAGAAATTAAATAATACTATATGGAATAGTCCATCTGTTGTTGTAAACCACAGGTTGTTATTTGTGTACGGTTGTTTATCTTGGGTGCAGCTTTGTGACAGGCCATCATGACCATTCTGGAAGCTCTGCCTTGCTGTGCAGATTTTTCTTGTGCAATGCTGGGCCTGGTCTTCTTAGGAAAAGGGAACTGCTGGACAGCAAGGTGGACAACTCTGGAATGGAGGCCACTCTTTCTGGTGTCTTGTTAAGCCCCTTACTTTGTTGTTCATCTTGCTGTAGCTGTCTTTTGTTCTGTTTTGTTTCGCAGCACTTGAGGTCAAGCACACTGCCTTGTGCATGCCACACTAGTGCTGTGCCTCGAACCATGCCCTGCTGCTGTTTTAATGGCCTGTCTTCTCAGTGGTTGGTCTTGGTAATCCCCTTGAGCATTTTCATTGGCTGTTTTGCACACACCAGAGAGGCCACATTTGTTGCTAGCTTTTAATTCTTTCACTTCATTTAATCATTAATTATATGAAAGGTTTTTTGTCCCAAGAATGGTATTCCTGTTTTCAGTTTAACCAAACTTGTAGGCAGATGTATAAACAGATAAAATAGCCATGTATTTTCTCGGTGGCATCATTTGCATTTCACAAAGTGAAGGCACATGATGGGTCCACCTGAGTGTGCCAAACTTGATTGTTTGACCTGCAGCCCTCAACTGTTTATTCCTGCTCTCTCCTTCCCGCCTGATGTGACCCTGTGCTGCATGGTCCTGGGCATGGCACATAGAGGAATTCAGTCTTCATTTCAAATAAATGACAAGCAAGATCCTATTGCTATTCTCCTGCCCATGAGCATACACAGACCAACTGCCATACATCCATCCTGGTCTGAACACCCATCTTTTTATTGAATTCCTCACTAAGTAGACGCTGAAGAACAAGCTAGCAGCACTAGTCAAGGGAATGGTTAGAGTTATCTCCAGGAGGGAGATAACTAGCCTCATAGAGACAGGTGGGCATTTGTAGTGTGACCTGACCCATTGGTAGTGCAATAGCTATGTGTGGTTTTATCTTTGACAAAAGAATACTCTTCAAAAAAAAAAAAAGCGATTGGATCTGCATGTTGATTCTGTAGTGGTAAACGGATGGTTACTTCTCTGTCCTAGTATTTCAGCTTAATATGGGGAAGTTATAATTCTCCTGCAAGTACAATCAACCCTTGATGGCCTAGGTACTGAGTATCCTGGGTGTAGTTCACCCAGACCTATTCCCACATCTTTTGGCTGATTCTACTGCACCCTAGTATCATAGTTGGGTAGGAAAGGGGGCTGGAGGATTGTAATGTCATGCTTTCTGTACCTGATTTTCAGGTTTGGTAGTGGAGGAGGTTTAATTATCTACTCAAGAGTGGGCTACTTGTAAAAACTATGGATTACTGTAACCTCATTCCAGCAGTGAACTGGTCGAATTCACCCACTCCTGGAAGGCTGACCAATGGCAGAGCCTGTCCTAGAATCTTTTCAGTAATACAGTGGCACACAGAAGCACTCTAAAGCTCCCCCAGATATCTGGACACTTGAATTAGAAATACAGAGGCACCCCTTCATCGCTTAAGCCATATTCTAGCTTCATGTACTGTAAAGTCAGGGATGTACTGTGATACTCTAAGACCACTGAGCTCAGTGGAATTTCAGGACATAGCATCAGTTGGTAATTTATACCAGACTAGAAGTTCACTCCTCCTTAGATTGAAGTCCAAATAAAAATCTGCACCTTTGGCTCAAAGACCATGTACACAATTAGGTGATCATCATCAACAAATTGTCATTCTTGCCGCCTTCATAGTATATAACTTCACATCATATATCTAGTGGCAATGCAAGAGAATAAGAGGGGCGTGGCCCTGAGTCACCACTGACTGCCTGACTTCAACAGGGTCCAGTGCTATAACAATTGCCTTGTAAATTAGGAGATGCAGAAAATGTATGTGAAAGTCTGTTCTCAAGTGCTGAGCAAGTTGTTAAAGGCCAATAAGGAACTGTATTGGAGAAATGATTGTTTTAATATATTTGAGGATTTCTCCAAATTTGTAGTAACTTCTTTATGAATAAATCATGGAAATAAGAAAACTAGTGATACAAAATCAGAATGGATAAAGATCTAAGACTGGACCCATATATTTGGTCAATATAACCACCTCATACCTCAGTTTCTGTGTACTTAAAGTGAAGATGAGCTAATATTAAGTTCAAAGTCCTCAATAGAGGGGAAAAAATGAAATCACCATTGTTAACAGCTTAGACTGACTAGCTAATTCAAACTTAGATGCTACATTTGAATGTAGTTGATAGTTATCCAAAAGTACTTAATGCATATTAAATAGGTAGTGAAATCAGCAGGGAGAAATATGGAACTGTAGGCAGTTCCAGAACTCTTCCTCCTCCAGAGTGGAACTCAACAAATAGTGTATCCCAAATTAAAAGTCCGTGTTTCATCTCGGAACAGATGGTGGGGTTACCATTAGAGCCCTCCGAGATATTGTGAGGCACTGCACTACAAGTAGATCACCACTTTCTAAGTTACTGCTTTAAATGCTAACCTAGGCCCCCAGTTTCATAGTCTTTCTACTTCCCTAAAAGTTTCTAGAAGCAGGTTAAGGATCTGTTAGTGGTCATTTTGCTGTCCCTGTTGACTTTATGATGTTTGGTTTCAGTACCTTAGACAGCTATCTGGTGACTTCCTGGCAGGCAGGAAACAGCCCTGTCTCTCCCCTGTAGCCAGTAGGCTTGATCAGGCGCTGGACAGTCTCTCTTCCTCTTAAACTGCTGCCAAAATAAACATTTTAGGAACGGGGTCACTGCTTGTGTTAAGGGAGGAGTCTTACAGGGGTAGCAAGACTGTGTGCCTGTGGTAGTAGAAAGCTTGTGCCAGGCTGAATGAATAGAAGTTAACAGTAAATGCCTGCCAGACAAGTAATAAGGAGATTTTTGTTGAAATAGACCACAGCTTATTAGCAAGAACTCTGTGCAGCAGTGTGTGTATATATATAGATATACACAAATAGAGGGACATTTAACTGTGATCTTTTTGTCTTACACCATTACTGGAAGCACTCAAACATGAACTGGAGTTCCCTCTGAACAAAAACCATTGTCAAATCTTCAACAGATGACCTCCAAACCTAGGTGCCAAGTGCCCTGCAGTAGTTGTTTA